TTATAAGATTAATATATAATAATTTTTAACACAATGCTACCAAGTCTATAACCGCTGCGCCAACATCTACTTCCGAGTTCTGTTACGACAATGCCTATGTCATCTCAATGCTTGCTTTTGACCCAGTCGCCTCTCCCTTTTGTGTCAGCTATCTATCCATGACCACGCATATCATGTAAGCTCCTCACCTCATTGAACCTCGAACGTTGACTGATTACATCTCACAGCACTGACTATGCAAACCCCACAACCGATACTGCAACGACCAATACCGCGGTAAGCTCCACTTACCATGCTTTGAGAGCTTGTACTAAGATTTCGATAGTCAGAGGCTACAGTTACGTCTACGCGATCGGTTGAGACTATTACATGCCTTGACACGGCTTACTCCTACGTTGCCCCAGTTCCTACCATCGACCGAGGCAGCCCGCATCCAGACAAGCGTGGTCAGGGTGAAATCGAGGTCCCTGAGGCGATACCTTCTGACTGGACTGAGGCTCAAACCTCTGATATCTGCTCCTGTCTTGATCTTGAGGAACCTACGACACATACAACCATTACTGAGACCTCGACCGTCACAGCTTGGGTCGTCGAGACTACCCTTGCTGATAAGAACGACATTGCCTACCGAAGATTCAACTCCCCTTTCGACGCCTACGACTATGACAGTGGTTTCGGAACCGACTACTTCAAAGGCAAACCCGTGCTATCGTCAGGCAACGGGCAGACCTAATTTGTCGCCTGCGACAGTCTCACGCCCGGCACCAGTGATACTTTCGACCCCTCTCAGGCAGCACTCCTCTACAATGCCTATTTCCACGCCAAAGAGACAGGAACTTATACGTTCACTATTCCTGATACCATTGATAACTGGGGTTATCTTTGGGTCAAGGACGCAGCGTATACATGGGATTCCGGTGCGTGGGCCAATTGAGGGGTCGCGAGCTGGAGTTGATCCTTCGCTGTGGAAGTCAGGATCGTATGAGATTCAACTGAATAAGGGTGATGCTATTCCGTTTACGTATCTTTGGGCGAATGGTGGTGGTTGTGGTATAAGTGATTTGAGGGTGACGACCCCGAGTGGGGAGTCTATTCTTGGTTTGGTAGGGTCGACTGTCGAGGCTTGCGATCTGGACAAGTTTACTTAGGGTTGGTGCTTTCGATTCTTCGTCTGTATATTTATTATGATAGACTTACTTCTTTACCTACTCATACCTGAGTGGCGTCTTTGGGTCTGCAGATCAATTCCTGTGTAGTAATGTTTTGACAAGCAATACTTTGCCAAAATGATGGCGCCGAAGGCAAAACTGGTTCAGTTTGGAGACTTGCCACGTAAGCGAGTCAACTAGATTTCGTTAATTACAACGTGCCCGAAGGCACTTAGAATCTAGAATCACATAATACATCATTATAATTGCTCTAGGTTTGACTGGCCATGCCGCTTTCTAGTTTAAACGCATCCAGTGGCTAGGCCATCCCTTGCGTGTCCTACAACCTAACTAACCTACGCCCGACTCAACAATCTCGAAATAACACTTCGTATCAATAGACTACTCTTAGAAACGACCATGTAGCAAACCGGCTAAGGGTAGAAGAATAAATTCAGTTACACCAAGCAAACTCAATAAATTACACCAAGTACAAAGAAAAGCCCACATCCCTATAATCCCAGTCTTAGTGCTTCCAAAGCTTGAAAGCCTGGTTCGCACCACTATGTCCGTTATAGGTCAGGAAAGCCGTGCCATTACCAGTGTTTCCGCCAGAAAGATCAAGGTACGTCTCATCCTTAGCATTGCGGAATCTAAACCCCATCAGCTTGTAGTTCATAAATTGAATATCGAGTTACCTACCGGACTTGAGTGCTGTCAGTGACGTTGTCGACCGTCGCGCCCTGGAGATCCCACTGAGCTGCAAGGTCAGAAACATCGCGGCTTCTCTCGCACTTGACAGTCTGCCCGTGTCCTGTATCCTTTTGTAAGTAATTCGGTCTGTTCTGTGGAATTGTGTACTTGCCAGCTGAAAAGAGGACAAAGCTGTTGCCAGCGTTCTTGATGACGACGCGAGTATTGGAGCCAGGAACCGAGAAGATCTCCCAGATCTGGTTGGCGTTGAGCCTGTACGACCCATCGGAGCTAGGATATATTAGTTACCATCACGATGTATCGAGGAAGTACTTACATTGCATGAACAGGGGGGTTCTGGCCACCTTGACCATTGAGGTCCAAGAAAACATGATTGTTGCCGCTTGAGCTCTCACTTCGGATATTGCATTTGAAGCGGAGCTTAGGCTCGGGTACAACGGTAGGAACAGGAGCAGGTGTAACATGGCCCTCGTGCATGTGAGTCCGCAGCTCCTTAGCCTTGTCTTTCAATTCCATCTCCAGATTGTCAAAGGCCAGTGTCTTTTCCTTGATGGTGTTGTTGAGTTTGATGATCTCTTCAGCCTGCTCGGTGATTGTCTTGCTCTTTTTCGCAGCAAGGGCTTCGTGATCCTTGACGTCTGCTTGGGCCTGATCGAGCTGACACTGGAGGTCGTTCTTGGCCTTCTCTAACTTCTCGATAGTCTCGTCCTTCTGCTTATTCTCACCTCGGAGTCTATCGCCCTCTCTCTTCTCAATTTCAAATTGAGCTTCGAGGGTTGCGATGCGAGCGGTCAGATCAACGATCTTGGCGACCTCAGCCTGGAGTCGAGCCTCGGCGGCCCTGAGATTAGTTGTCGTCTGGTCAAGCTTCTTCTGGGCCTCAGCCTTGGAAGCTCGCTCGTAGTCAAGTTGAGAAACTAATCGGTCGATAGTCTTGTGGTCTTCATCATCGTGCTTCTTGCCCTTGACGAGGTCTTCGTCTCTCTTCTTGCGTTCGGCAGCATGAGTGGCTTGAGCGTCAGCGAGTCTCTTGGTCATATCACCCGTCTTGGCCTTTTCGACGTTGAGATCATCGTTGAGCTTCTTGATCTCCTTCCTGAGCTCGTTGTTCTCGGTAGTAGCAGCATTGAGCTATTCACCTCGGGCATGGAAGTCGGCATCTAGGGCTTTGAATCGCTGCGGTCATTAGCCCACACTATTCCAAGTCAATAGTGGCTACTTACGTCCTCAGCATACTTGCCAAGATATCCAGGCTGATCGGCAAAGGCGATGGTATGTCGCAGAGTCTCGATGAGGTTCTTGGGGAAAGGGAGGGGTCCAAGAATACGAGGTAGAGACGGCTGAGGCTGGGGAAGGCGGACTTCAACCTCGGTCTTCTCGGGTGTAGAATACTCTGGAGGGTTCCAGCTACTAAATGACGGTCAGCGTTGGAATGATTGTCTGTGGTTTTGGACTCACTGGGAGTGGCGGTCAATCAAAGCGGAGAGAGTGTACTCGCCAAGATCCTGGTTGGCCTCAGGGCCCTTCATGTGGACAGCAAGCCTCTCCGTCGTCTCGTCCCAAGTACACGTAATATCGTAGTACGAGTGATAAGAGAACTTGACGCCTTTTCCAGCACCGGACAGCATCTTCTGGGACTCGGCGCGGAAGGACGGGGACTTTTCAGTACCAGTGTCATCATGAGACCACTGCCAAAGCGAAAGAACAGGCTTTCCATCACCAAACCCCTCAGGGACGATGAAAATACTCATCTCATCACTAGCATACTTGGACCAAGAAATCTTGCCAGTCCAAATCCTAGCAGCGCCAGTGGCTTGCTCGCCCTTAGACTGCCAGATCCGCTTGAACGACATGTTACTCTTAGCGCCAGCCGGGTTCGACATGGCAACGTCGAGCTTGCCGTAGATGTCGCGGGAAGTGATCTCCCAGCTGTAGTAGGACGCCTTGGCGATGAAGGTGTCATCGCCGCTGGGAGTCTTGGCGACTCACTCGGTGGCAGACTTTTGGAAGAAGTTGGCTTTCTTGGTGCCCTGAGCGTCTTTGGTCCACTGGGAGAAGAGATAGGCAGTGTCGCCAACGCGAACTGGGCCGTCGGGCAGGATTATAACGAAGGTCTCGTTATCGCCGTAGGGCTTCCAGTCGAGACGTCCATCGTAGACGAACATTGCAATGACTGGAGTGGAAAGGGTTTTTGGGGAGATAGAAGAGATAGAAGAGCTGATTGATGGAATTGAAGAGTGGTTGTTGATGAGGGTATTGGTATATGCAAGAGGCAGAATAGCATTATATAGTCAAACCTGAGACTTTGTCCTCCTCCAAATCATGCATGAAGTGAGTTGAGAGTTCTCTGATGTCCACCCATGTTTGCTCTCTCTGGAATTTACTTCAATAACCTTCTGCATGTCTTTGCCTATCATCAGCTGAGAAGTCCTGTGGCTACCTGAATATGAGAACACGGTAACTGCAAACATATCGCCATCACAAAAGCAAGCCCGATCGCCATAGCTATCACACCGAGTTCAAGGCATGTATGTGTGTGATATTGGACGCCTTGTCGTTGTTCAGAGATGATTGCATCGAGGCTAGCGCTCCAAGGAGAAGTTCTTCCGGAACATGGCTCTCGAATATCGCGCCATTGGAATTTCAGCTGTTGCGCTTTGATATTCGTGGCGACACCGGGCAATCATCTAATTCGCCCCCGAACGGTACACAGAATCGCCTTGATAATCTAGGTGGATCTGGGCCATGCGGATTGCTCCGGGCCGATCCCTGGAGTTCCGAAAGAGGGATAATTCCTGGGGAAGTGGAGAGCTGATGGTTTTCGTTTCGGGCTGAGCTGAGATGTGCATAAGGAATGCAAATAGCATGCTCGCTATCGAATGTGTGATCAGCGCCGTGGCTTGCAGGAAGCTGTGGTCGTATCAGAAGGTTGATATGTCTTCTGGTCTGTTTTTTTTTTTAATCCCTTAAACATATTAGTAAGAAGAGACAAGAAAGCCTGTCATCTTTACCAAGTAATGAAAATACACGGTGAAACGTAATACATTATGACTGATTTTTAGACCAGCTAAATTTCATACCCTGTTTTATTGTTAGAAACTATACTACCCCTTGTATATTAGGTCAATTCGGCACTTCATAGTAATGCAAGCTGCAGGCCTTGGTCTTGTGATATCGAATGCTGAAAGGAATAAGCGGTGGTCGAGGTGCGAGAGGACTTGTACAATGACCAGGGTTATGGCATTCCGGTACTATTAAACTTACCTACCCTAGATACGCCAGCCCATATTGCTTGCGGATTGTCCATAGAGGAATCAATGTTAGATACATTACATTTCATGTTTTCAAACCTATATTACAGCTCAAGACATTCATTCTCATACAAGATTTGGTCTCTCTTATTCTATTAACGCAGTTTTTCCATTATTAAGAGTTCCGTGGAGTTTGAACTCTTCACTCAACGAATAGTGATTTGAATGTGTCTGGCTGAGGGCGTCTCGAAAATGGGCTCATGTGTCTATAGTTCAAACATAAGAGAAATATCTATTCAACCTAAACGCCATCTTTGTCTATTCTATCAATCCCAAATCTATCCCAAACAAAAGAAACCTTGCCCGTTCTCAAGCAGCCTCAGCAACAGCATACCCAACCCTCTCCCCAACCTCCATCTTGCCCTCCCTCGCATGCCTCTCCCTCTCCTTAACCTCAGCCATCCTGTTCAAGAAGCTCAAATACGTCTGCCACCCAACCGCCACAACACCATGGAACAAAGGCCTCCAGCCAATCGACAGAAACGAGAAACTAAATGCCGTGACCATAGGCCATAATTTGCAAGAGTTGATGATGCTGGTTGGCACTGTGTCTTTGACGCGCTCGATTGTGCCGGGGATGTCACATCCAGACAGTAAGGCTTGGGCGCCGAAGAAATATGTGTTGAAGATTGGCGTGAAGACGACTTGGCCGACTGTTACTTTTGTGGCGAGGGATAGAAGACGGGAGGAGTAGTTGAAGTTATGGGAGAGGAACATGAACCTGAACGAAATATTAATATCAAACTTCAACCTCGACCCTCACTCATACTCTCACTGAAACTAAGAAAAAGAAAAACTCACCACTTATAATTCGGTATAGCAGCAACACACCCAATAACCGCATTCCTCAACGTCCTCACAGGATCATACTCATTGCCACTAACATACTGCGCACTCAAATCCCCCGCAATGTAAATCACCACCGCAGTAGCAACCTGCGTCTTATACGGACTCTTATTCTGCGCACGCGCGTACGCCTGAACAGCCGTTGTCAAAGGACCCAGACGCTGCCATAGCGGCAGGGGAGCGACGGTGGCGGGTACAGGGACGGGGTCTTTTTTAGGGGGTGAGGATTGGAAGCGCCGTTGGAGGTGGCGCAGGGGTTGTTTGAATGCGGGACGGAGGATGGGTATTGTCATTATGAGGGTATATGTGATATTAGGTATATGTGTTAGTGGGTGAGAATGGGGAAGTGAGGTGAGAGTCTGGGGAGGGGAGGGGATGCGAGATTATTGAGATGAGATTGGATCTTGATAAGCGGTTTCGAACGGCCGAACTCGGACGGTAATTCCGAATGAGTAAAAAAAAAATGAAATTTATGAGTGATTGATTAGATTGGTTGGTGTGGGGATCGGTATTCGTCGGCTATCGAATCGGTACTTACTGAGAAAGGCAAGTCATCACGGCCACGCAACTAAACCTCACTACTGACCAACCTCACTTTGAATATGAATATGATTAAATAATAATATGCTAAACAAAAGAAAATGCCAATGAATGTCTCTTAAAAGAACTCCTCTTCCTCCTCATCCAACAACCCCATCCCACTATCCCTCCCCCTCAACCTCTTACTCACCCTCCTCATCCCCTGCCCCTGTCCCTTCACAACCTCCTCCTCCTCCTTTCTCGGCGTCAAAAACTCCTGACTCATCCTAACAACCCTCTCCAACTCCTCTTTCATCGCGTCAATAACTTCCTTCGCCTTAACCCTCTCCTCATCAACTTCCCTCCTCAAACCACCGTTCTCAACGCGCAGTCCGCAGATTTTATCATGTGCTGAGCGCAGAGATTCATTCAGCTTGTCGATCTCAGTTCGATATTTTGTAACGCTTGCGTCGCGCGCTGCGAGGGCTGATCCGTGCTTTTTGTTGAGGCTGGTGATGGTTTCGGTGTGGCTGGTTTGGAGGGTGAGGATTTGGGCTTGGAGATCGGAGGAGCGGGTGAGAGCGGATGAGAGTTTGCTTTCGAGGGAGGCAATGGTGTCTTCTTTGCGGGTGAGGATCTTGTGCTTGACTTCTAGTTGCACAGCATATTCATCATTGGCATCGTGGGCCTCGCGCTCCATCCGCTGAACCAGATCTTCCAGCTCTGAAATGTCGCGAATATACCCATCCACAGCACCCTTAAGCCTCTGATTCGCAACCTCGAGCTCTCTGATCCTTGCAATCTTGTCACTGATAAGCTTCTCGGCCTTTCCCATCTCTGCTTTCAGCCCATCCATGACTGTAACTCTTGCATCCAATTGCTTCCGTAGAGAGAGCTCGATCTCGTGGTACTCATCTATAGCATCCTCATCTTCCTTTGCGCGCTTCGCCATGTCGCGTAAGCGCGTGAGCATGAGATCTAGGACTTCTGCGCCGTGGGAGGATAGAGGGAGGGTGATTTCTCCGGGGGTTAGGTACTCGAGCTCTAGGCGGGCGGCGCGGAAGTTGGTGATGAGGGTTGTTATCATCTCGCTGGCGTCGGAGCCGGCGAAGCCGAGTTTTGTGATGGAGGATGTGAGGGTTTGAAGAGCGCATGTTCTATCAGACATTGCTTGGAGCATAGTGTCAATCTGTGCCTCAAGACCTGACTGATCCCGGGGTGTGTAGTCTGATAACTTGTTGCTCAGGCGTCCGCTGAGAGTCTTATAAGATTCAAGAGTGTCCGTCAACTTTGCAACCTCCAGTTGAAGCGACGACACTTCCTCTTCCAACTGCAGCTGCTTAGGATCCGGCAAACAAGCCTGAACACCTACCATAGCCGTTGTCTCCATCGGTTCAAAGATCGGCGTCCCAGGTACAGTAGGACTCGTAGCAGGCGGCGTCATGAACGAAGTACGCGCTCTCGAAGGCGTACTACAAATGAACTGCGCCATAGTCTCATCGCCAAACTGATCCTCATCAGGTGTCATGTCCATAAAATCCTGCGAAAACTTCTCCCGCGCTGCAAGAGTCCAGTTATATCCTCTGCTCTGATCCATAGCGCGACCTGACCTCTTCGACAGCTCATCCTGAAGATCTTGGATCTGCTTCTCAAGATCCCAAATGCGATCTGTGTCGACAACGATAGTCGCATTCTGCAATTCGTAAATCTCGCGATCACGCGCTTTTAGTTCATTTCTCAACTTCTCAATTTCTTCCTTTGCTTCTTGATTCCGACGGCGTTTCTCCTGTTGAATTGTGTTCATCTCCTCGCTCAGACCATTGCGACGGATTCTTCGCTGCACGCGACCGTCGAGGACTTGTCGCAGTGGCAGAAATGTAACTTCGCCGCTTTCAGGGAGTGCAGGACTTGAGCGGATTGTGCTTGGGGTTGTTTGGACAGGCAGGGATGAGTGACGTCGGCGTTTGGGTGTTGCGACGGTGAAGCGATTGACCATGGGGGTTAAGCCGGATGAAGAGGCGCCTGGGTCGGAGAAGCGAACTCGTCGGGAGGAGCGCTTGGGGGTTTTGGAGGGCATTGGGGATGAGGGCATGTCTGGCTCTGGTTTGATGCTGCTGCGACGAGAGCGTCTAATTGCGATGGGGAGATGAATGTCTTCCATGATGAGTATGTCAATTGAATGAGACGTCAAGGGGTTTACAATGAGGACTCATAAAGACCATAAATATGAATAAAACAAGTCCAATCAACTGGACAACAAAACAGCGAGCCCCTCGCCTTTAAAAAAACACAACTCCAGCATAACAAAACAATCCCCCAGGCCATCATTTACACGACCTCCAGGCATAATGTTTACCTTTTCCCTCTTACAGCCTAGCGTGGTCACTCACAGAGCACGGGAACCAATGGATTTCACTACATGCAGGGTCTCGCAAAACGGCCACTGGAGAATTGTTATGGGGCCGTGAATTCAGGCCATGTTTTTTGGT